ATCTGGGACACGATTCAGTTACCTGAACATCTGTGTTGATATTCGAGTTGTTCTGGTCCTACTTAACTTCCAGCTGGTCAGGAATAGTACAGGTGTTCCCTGAATCCATCAACATGGGTGTCTCCAATATCCTGGCATTTCTCAAATATCCACGGGTGTCACGTTAGGACAAGGAAAATAAGTGCCTAGGACAGAAATTTCTCCCCCTGCAAACATATATTTCGATGCTGAAAATGAAGTGTCCAGATTTCAGCCTGGATTTTGTCCCTGCCTTTGCTGGGTTTGGCTGAGATGGAATTAATTTTCCCCATGGCAGCTGAGCTGTGTGTTGGGAGCTAGAAAGGTGCTGGGGACACACCAGTATTTTGGCTGCTGCTGAGCAGTGCTGGCACAGCATCCACCTGTTGGAGGAGTCCAGAGGAGTCCAAGATGATCAGAGGGATGGAGCAGCTTTGCTGTGAGGAAAGGCTGAGAGAACTGGGATTGTTCAGCCTGGAAAACAAAAGGCTTTGCTGTGACCTAATTGTGGCCTTCCAGGACATGAAGGGTGTTGACAGGAAAGATGGACAGAGAGTGTTTACAGGAGTATGGAGTGACAGGACAAGGGGGAATGACTTCAAACTATCAGAGAGTAGGTTTAGATTAGATTTTAGGAAGAAATTCTTGACTGTGTCTGTGGTGAGTCCCTAGAAAAGGTTTCCCAGAGAAGTTGTGGCTGCCCCATCCCTGGAAGTGTTTAAGGCCCAGTTGGATGGAGCTGTGAGCAATTTGGGCTAGTGGGAGGTGTCCCTGCCCATGACAGGGGGTTGGAACTGGGTGATCTCTAAGGTCCCTTCCTATCCAAATTGTTCTATGATTCTGTGATTTCCTCCAACATTCCTCTCTCCCCAGTAGGCTGGGGGTGGGCAAGATCTTGGGAAGGGACACAGTCAGGACAGCTGATCCAAACTGAGCAAAGGGATATTCCATACCATGTGACATGTGCTCAGCAACAAAAGTTAAGAGAAAGGGATGGGAAGAGGCATTCCTTAAAACAATGTCTGCCTTCCAGAGCAACCCCTAAGCCTCAGGAAGTGGCTGGACATCCCCTGCTGGTAGGAAGAAGAGAATAAATCTTTTGTTTTCCTTTGCTTCTGCATGAGGCTTTTCTGCTCTTGCATTACTGAGTGGCCTTTATCTTGACCCATGAGTGTTTTCCATCTCTTTTCCTTCCCCCACCTCCATATCCTGCTGAGAAGGGGAGTGATAGAGCAGTTTGGTGGGCACCTGACACCCAGACAGGGTCAACCCACCACACCAACTTAAAAGTCTGCTTGTGATATTCTGCTTCCAGACCAAATGGGAAGAGATGCAGAAGAAGAGTTAAACTTTGGGTGAGTTCAATGACCGGCTGCTTGTCCTGAGATCTTAATTTCCAGAGACTTAAAAATTATTAGACATATTTACACAGGACCTAGCAGAATGGGAGCTCAAACTGGAAGGAAAGCAAGCCCTGAGCACAGGTAAATAATGAATTTCAGTGGTACCTCAGTGATCATGGTGCTGACTGTGCCGTGTCACGAGGATGAGTTAAGTCAACTGGTCACTCTTGGTGGCCCAAGGACCACAGATAAGCCTGTGCCTGTGGTTATTCTGCAGATGGTTTCACACTGTAACATTCTGGGCCAAAAAGTGAGGGTTCTGGTTGTATTGGTTACAGTAGTAATGAGAAAAGTAAGAAACATGTTATTATTTTGATTGCACCGTAGTAACTGAGTAATTACACAACGGGGTAATTCAGGAATGACTAAAGAGAAAAGAGAACCATAATTAACTACCCCATCTTGCAACATAGACCCTTATTTGAGGGAATGACATAATGGCATGGAAGTTCTCTCTCCTTACAAATCTAAGTACTACAGAAATAGTTCTCAGCATGGACAAATTGTTCACCTTAGGGAAATACTGGAATAAAAGCTTTTGAAGGAAAACAAGAATTATATATGTATGAAATTGTAGATAAGTGTGTAAATGGTTGAACTGTGATGATTGTGATACATTTTCAAGTTTGGGGGGGAGAATAAATTCTGATTCTTTTCCAACTAGCCATCAGATTCAATGTCTTTCCATGTACAGGTTTGAACTGCCTTTTTAGAAAGATCAGGGATTTATTTTAATTTTTTGACAATGACATATTTGAAATCCTGGAGCCATCTTCAGGGCTCAGTAGGAAGTTAAAAGATGAGATTAACCCAATAAGCAAAGCCTCTGTTTTAGCCATTCCAGCCTCTTCAGAGGGTTCAGGATACCTGTGATCTAATTTCTCCACTGTGTCTGACCCCTGACCAGCTCCATCTTTTACCCAGGGGTTTACAAAGACCCAAGGTCTTTCTCTATGAGAAAGTCTCTCCCTCTACCCTCACCCCACAAATTCCCTATTTTCCCATTCTTTAAAAATCTTCCCCTACCTTTAAAATCAGAACTGATCATTGCTCTTTTTGCTTACTCCACAAAGCTTCTCGTACCCTGCAGAAGTTTGTATCTTCCTGGATTAAAGCCCGGGGTAAGGAAAAAACTACATCAATATTTCCCACAGACAAGAAAGAAAGGCACAACTGTCAGATTTTAATTGATGATTGATGATAAGCAGAGAAGGGACAGCTCACCATGACATTTCTTTTCACTATCATTTAGACCAAGGCACCTCTTTTCCTTCCGAGGGAGTATCAGCTTACTCAGCTTCCTGAGATGCAAACAGATTTACTGAAATTACCACAAGATATATTCTCCACCTACTCCATCATATCCCATATTTTGATGCTTTACAATGATGGATAAATAGGAGGAAAAGCAAAATGTAGCAGTTGTTTTATTACACAAACCTTCATAGACAGAGGGTATAACAAAAGAAAAAAATAAACCAACCCTGAAATGTTAAAAAAAAGGCAGGTTTCTGTTGCATTATCCAAAATTATGAATTCCAGTTATTCAAGACTCACTGTAGCTACAATAACAAAGGTAACTAAATATTTTAACCCTAATCTAACACTACAACACTGGAGATTTAATTCTATGACAGATGGCTGTTTAACTACAAAGATCTGCAGACAGTGATTCACATCCTCCCCTTGGCAACCAACTCCAAAGCCTGGGTTTTTTGCAGTCATGAAGTTTTTCTTGTAGTTATGAAATTTTCCTTGTAGTTGTGAGGTTTTTCTTAATATTTTATTTGATTCCTCCCTGCTGTCTGTAAAGCCATTTCTTCTACCCGAAATGAGGAGAAGTAATAACTGATGTTTGCCTCTTATGTAACATCTATTTTAGCCACCCTCAGTTCATCACCAATCTCTGTTTTTCTCTGGAATCACACTCCCAGTTCTTTGTGGTTTCTCTCTTGATCTTACTTGCCCAGCTTCCTCATTCTAGCAACTTTGTCTGAGCAAACTCTGGTCATTCTGTTTTATTTAATAGCAAACTTGCAGTGTTTATAAGAATATTGTGGGGAAAAAAAAAATTTAAATACAACAAAATTTTAAAGATTCTTCTTTCTTTTAACGTTAAGCCAATGCCATTCAAAGGCTTCCCTTCCATTAAGACCTAAATGCGACCGAAAGGAAAATGAAACTTCACCCAAAGATGGGTTAAAGAGAGTAAGAAACATCTTGGAGAATTTTACACCTGCTGCTCACAGAGCTGGTTGATTTTTCTAGAACGGTGGGAGTTACCTAGAAAGGTTTGACATTTTTGTTGTAAAGAAGGTGCCTCTACCCTTATTTTCTCCCATCTGATCACGAGCCTGCAGGAAGAAAAAATGCAGGGAGTATCTTGGGTTTGTGGTTTCCCGAGCTCTGTTCCTCGGAAAGACAAAAGGAGAGGGCAGAGAACGACTGAACCATCATAATACTGGAAATGGCCAGTGTGACCCACTGACCTCTGACAGAGCAAAAGTCATCAAACTTCCCGTTTGCTCTCTGAGCTGAGCAGGGGAAGTGTAGTAATTTCCCTCCCTCCCTCCCCTCTTGCTGTGTCAGGATACCCACATACTATCAAATCACCACTTCCATGCCAGGGTGGGGAGAGGCTTGTTCCAGGAAGAAATCAACTGCAAACAAAGCAGAGTTGTAAACTTATCAGAGGAGCCTTCTCAGGAGCAGGAAAACGTTTATGAATCTGAGTCACTTCTGGGAAGCTGGTGGTGTAGGATACAGGGATGGCAGAACTTGCGGAAACAGCGATTTTCCTCTGGTGTGTTCCTGCAGGATGAGCAAGAAGGCTCAAAAATTTCCTTCTTTATCTGAATCTCATACAACATGTAGCAATGAGGTGCAGGAATCTGTGGGAATACCCTTTCATTGTGCAGTAACAATGCATGGCATTTGACAGGAGCAGTTACAGGGAGATGGATTATTTTGCCCTGATGAGTGCAAAGGAACACCCATTTCCCCCCGACGTGAAGAGAAGGGAAAGAGCAGAAATCTGCCTCCCGGACTGATTCACCACTTCTTGTTTATGCCATCATGTGGATCTCATTTCCTGGGAAGTTCCAAGCAGTGAAATCATTCCTGACACCTTGTCCCTGCCCAAGAACTACACGCGATTTTCACACCAAAGTGGCTACATGACCTGAAGTTTGGATGAGGATAAGAGAGAGAGAGGTGTCAGGAACAGCTTGATTTGTGTGGCACAGGACACTAGAATGTCTCAACTGGAATTTGTGTCTCCAGAAGTGTAGCCTTTTGTGTTGGCAGAAGGCATCTCACCATAGTTATCAGATCACAGAGTCACGGAATCCCTGCTCGTCTCTGATCACACCCATTCATGGGGTGTTACTGAAATTCTGAGGATCAGCCCAGAGAGAAGCTGTCTCCAGATGGTAAAATGTGTAACATTAAATTTTGTCGTGGTTTAACCATGGTTTATCCCCTCTCTGTTCGCAGGGGGGAGGAGACTCAGGAGAGAAAAGAAAATAGAACTTGTGATTTGAGATGAGAACGGTTTAATAACTGAAACAAGTAAAAGAAAAGAAGGAGAAGAAAAAGAAGAAAAAGAAGAAGCAGAAGAAAAAGGAGAAGAAGAAGAAGAAGAAAAAGGAGAAGAAGAAGAAGAAGAAGAAGAAGAAGAAGAAGAAGAAGAAGAAGAAGAAGAAGAAGCAGAAAGGAGAAGAAGAAAAAGAAGAAGGAGAAGAAGAAGAAAAAGGAGAAGAGGAAAAAGGAGAAGAAGAAGAAGAAAGGAGAAGAAGAAGTCCGCATAACCTAAGCAGCCTAAAGTATCCGCACTCATACCACTAATCAGCCTTCTCCTCCGCCTACCCATGTTCTACGCTTAAACCTTCCCTCAATCCTCCTCCCGTCTCCCCTCCCACCCGTGCTCCTCCTCCTCGCACCCCTTTATCTCAAGAAGAAGAAGAAGAAGAAGAAGAAGAAGAAGAAGAAGAAGAAAGGAGAAGAAGAAAAAGAATGAGAAGAAGAAGAAAGGAGAAGAAGAAGAAGGAGAAGAAGAGAAAAAGAAGAAAAAGGAGAAGAAATAAGAAGAAAAAGGAGGAGAAGAAAAAGAACAAAAAGGAAAAGAAAAATGAAGGAGAGAAGAAGAAGAAGAAGAAAGAAGAAGAAAAAGCAGAAGAAGAAGAAAGAGAAGAATAAAAAGATGAAGAAAGAAGAAAAAAAAGGAGAAGAAGAAAGAGAAGAAGAAAAAAAAGATGAAGAAAGAAGAAAAGAAGAAAAAAGAAAAAAAAGAAGAAGAAGCAAAAGGAGAAGAAGAAGCAAAAGGAGAAGAAGAAGAAGAAAGAAGAAGAAAGCAGAGGAAATGTATTTTTAAATTTTTTAATTTTTAAAGAATTTTGATTTTCCTCTTGCTATAGAATAAGCAACTTTTTTTTTTTTTTTATTTTATTTTATTTTTTTCTCTCTTTTGGAATCTCTTTTGCCGAGAGAACCACCTCTGGGTGCAAGATAACCCACCCCTCAATGCGTTCATCTTCTTCCCACTGACAGCCCATACATGGGCCATTACCAGCTGTTGGGTGACAATTTTGCAGCCCTGGTGGTTTCACAAGAACTTGTCTGTTTATAAGTCTCTTACTACTGGACCTGTCTTTGATGAGTTTGAAAAGGTCAGGAGTTCATTCCACTTGACTCAGACAAAAAAACAAACTTCTTACCAAATATGAGAGTTTGAGCAATAATTCTCAGGAAGGTGAAGCAGAACAGTTTGGAAGGAAGAGAGAGAGCTGTTTATGCAACATGTTTGGTTGTAAATCATCAGCGAAATCAGAGCAGTGCCAGCACAAAGAGCACAAATGAGTTGAAAACTCTATTTAAAAAGTAGAAAACCTATATAAGTAGTATCTTCAACTTCTCTGAAATACTTGTGACATTATGAAAGTGAGAGAGTTTTTTAGAAAATCTTGAAAAGGCTCCAAGAAGGCAGAAGTACCAAATCACAGTGTTAATGGAGAAAGTCAGGCATCTTAAATGCTCAAATATACAATTTAAATTGGAGTTTATTTCTTTTGCATCTTTCCAACTTGGGCAAGGAAATTGGAATAGGTCAACTACAGCCTTCTTCAAAGCAATATTTTATTGTTTCATTTTTTTTCTTGCTTGATAATAGCTCTCAAGAGAAGAGTTGGTACAACATTCAGAGAGTAGCACGTTGTGGTCTTTTCTTTGTAGCCACTACACAGAACACTTTTTGAGTAAAGAAAAAGAAAAATTATAGCTAGGAGGTTGGAATTTAAAAAAAAAAAATGTGGAGAGGAAAGAAAAAATATCAGATCTAGTGGGACACCCAAGTGTCCTTTTAATTTGTTACATATTATATTGTATGATGGAGATCTTACTAAGGCACTGCTCTGCCTTTTCAAAATATTAAAAGTACCCTCAGAGCTACAGTGAAGCAAGGACAGTGTTTAAACCCTCAAACTCAAAGAAATTGATATTAAGCTAAAAGTGTTGACTATGACTTCATCCTGTGTTATTATGTCAATAAAAAATGACAATAAATGTGATATGAAAACTATAACAAAGTATTTGCAAGTCTTAAGTAATGAAACTTCACAGCAACTTTGTATGGCAATAAAATGTTGCTTTGCAGTTTTAATATTAAAATATTCAGAGAGAGCTTGCTGTTAGTGATAGAGTTGCTGTAAAAACACAGGCAATTAATTTTCACATACTTACCCCTGTTTCAGCATAGAAGTTGTGTTTCCATCAGAGGGAGGAAAACTGAGGTTATCACATATCATAGACATTAAGAAATGTGAGTGAATTAGAGGCAGAAGCCCCCAGAATATAATGTCAAGATTTGAATTCCTAGTTTAGTCCAACATCTTTGAAAATCTCATCTCAGAAGAACTAAAATACAACTTGGGTGTTGGTCTTCCCCATCCATATTTAGGTGCATGTTGCAGTCTGACACCAGAACAGTCTGAACTTTTGCAGACATCTTGGTTTTGTTTTTTTTCTTTTTACCAGCTCTTATTTGGATATTGTTTGTTTTGTTTTTTTTCAGGATAGTAAGTATTGCCTAACGTGATTTGTCTGAGACCATAATGGAATTGGTGGCTGGGCCAGAAGCAAAATCCAGGGCCCTTCCTCCACTCTCATTTTCTAGACATTAGCTCATGTTCTTTGAAAACTACATGCTGCAACCTCACTGCTATCACAGCCTGCATTGAGCTGTAATTTGGGATGACTTTGGCTTCTGTTGTGATTAAATTGGACTCTTATCATAACCCAAATAGGAGCTCTCGTTATGTGTTTTCCCAGAACACAACAATATTGGCTGAGCCCCAAGCTGGCATTCTGCACCCCAGCCCTTGGCTGGGAAATGGTGTCTGTAAATACATCCACATGCAAACACTCCTGTACACCCCCCCCCTCACACACACACACATCCACACACTGCTCCAGGCACTGAGATGTGACAGGGACAGAGTCTCCAGAGGTCATGTGGAAGCTGCAAATTTATTTGAGATGTAAAAAATCACCTTGATGCTGTTTGAGGCACCGGTTCCCACTCTTGGTGCCTGTGAAGCCATTGAAACTTTCCAGAGACCAAAATTTAATGAGACCGTATAAAAGAGTTGCTCCAAGTTTAGTTTAAATAATCGTTATTTTTCCTTTTATTTGACAACCACCCCTGGTGATACCCCGTCCTCCCCCAGCTTCTTGCATTGCTGCCTATATTTAATAAAGGCAGGCAGCCCCACTTTCCAACTCTTTGTGAGTAGGGGTGGAGAAAACTCATTGCACATCCCACCCATCTGAACTTCCTGGCAAGTCACACGGGTCTCACTGTCTCCTTATTCTGTTTGTTTGAAGGACCTATTTTTTTAAAAAGTCCTTCAAACTGGTTGGTAACAAGCTCTGTCTCCGGATGCCAGAGGGACAACACAGAGCCACTTTGTGAAGAAGGAGGTTGGCTGTCCTCCCCACTCACAGGGAGAAGGGTCTGCCCGAGAAATGCACTTGGATGGTGCTGAAAGACATTTGTCAAGTAGTCAAAGGGTCTCTGCACCTCCTTGGAGCCGGTCTTGGGAGAGGGAGGAGGGAAATCCCCATCCCAAGACTGTCTCTGTCACACTGGGAGATTAAGAATTAGCCTTTGTCCTTGGTAAAAGTCAGGGAGGGGAGGGACAGCTCCTGGGAGAAGCCTCACTGTGTCCAACACACTTAGGCCAAAATCGTGGCAATTTCCCTTGGCAAGTTGTCCTGGTCCTGTCCCCTCCCTGCATCTTCAGGCTGCTTTTTGATTGTCTTCAAAGGGCATTTCTCCTCTGCTGAATCACAGTGTGTTCTGTTTGTCCCTCTTTCCCAGACTGTAAAAAGGATGCTTTGCAAGAAGCACCCAAAGGAACTAAATGTTATAAATTCCCTCGGTGCAGGAGAGCAATTGTCTCTCAGGGCTGATACTCAGCAGCTGTGATCCCTGAATACAATGTGCTTTCCACTGCAGCAAGCCTTTGCTTGGTAAAGCTTTTCCACCCAGTGACTTTATCTGCGTGGGCAGCAACACTTCCCTGTTGGTCTCATTCTTCCAGCCTCCCTCTCCCACCTCAACCATTGTCAACCTTTCAGTCACGGCTGTGATCCAGTCTAGCAGCCCTCATTTCTTTTGGCCCCCTTTCAGGTTGTTTTGAGCTGTTTGACAAAGTCTTGAAATGACTTAATCCAAGGAGAAAAGGTTTGCAGTTGACATTTGCTGGAGTAACTCCTGGGTTTAGATTTCCTGCCTCCCTCTCAGCTCGGAGGAGGAGGTGTGTTCCTCGGTGACATAACGCCAGCAGCAACAGGCTGAGTAACTCACTCACCAACCTTCCTGCTGCTCACAGATTACAGTGATAACTCTGCAAAAGCCTCACAGGCCTCAAGTCCTGCCCTGGCAGATCAGGGATCAGATGTTTTGTTGTTCAGCACAAACATCCTGCAAACCTCCACCACTGGAAGGGTCACTTGCATGTCCTGTGATGTCACTGAATGTTTGTTGCTTGCTGGACAAGATGTGAGCTTTGCCTTCAGGCAGCTGAGCTTTGCTAAGTCCCTATTTGTTTATCACCCTAATTTTTATTGCCATTTCAATTTCTAATGAGATGACTGGGTAAAAGCAAGAAATGAAGCAGGGCATCCAGGTATTTTCAGCCAGTTGGGAGGTAGTTTGTAATTTCTACAGGACGCTATGAAAATGCCCTAGACACAAATTAAGAAGAAAAATCAGGTCTATAAAATGCTTTAGGGCATTTTTTTTCAAATCTGATATATTTAAGAAAAATTGCTTTCTTCTGTGGCAAAAGAAAATAAAAGGAAATTCAAGAGAAAGTGCAAAATAGAAACAAAAGAAAGGCTCCATCATTCATGGTCCCAGTCAAAACTGTGCAACTGGGAATGCTACTGAATTTTTTAGCAGGGAAAATGAGAGAAGAGGCTCCCAATTTTCCCTACTCCCAAATGTCTCCTTCCAGCAGTTCAGGTTTAAATCTAATTCTATTTTCAAGTTCTTTGCCAAGTTGGAGTATATTGGGGTTGCTGGTCTAAGTGATGGCCTTAGAGCTGATTTTTGATTTTGACTGGGGCTAAAACAGAGGAGAAAGCAGGAGGAGAGGCTTCAGTTCCAGAAAGTGTTTGATGCAGGATGGAGAAAGTCCAGAGAATACAGAGTGTGCAAGGAAGATGCTATGGCCTGAAATGCAGGAGGTGCCAGAAGCCCTGTGAGAAGTTTGATTGTGGGAACTGAGCAGCCCCAGCATTGTTTGCGTGGTGAGCTGATGGGTGAAGAACATCTACCCCGAAAGTCAGTGAGAAAAGATGCTGGAGACCTGAGACAACAAATTCCTATTTTAAGGCAGTGACAAAGGTGTGAAATGCATCATCATCAGGGACAGCTACTAAGCAAAGAGAGGTATTAAAACCAGAGACTTGGTGGCTGCTCCACCCCTGGAATGTTCAAGGCCAGGTTGGATGGGGCTCTGAGCAACCCGGTCTAGTGAAATATGCTCATGTTCATGGCAGGACAGTGGGAATGCCATGAACTTTAAGGTTCCTTCCAACTCAAACCATTCTATGATTTATGATTCTAAAATTTGGGACTGGTCCATATTCCAGTATGGAAC